CCTTCCGAGTAGCTGGAACTACAGGTGCGCGCTACCATGCCTGGCTCATTTTTGATTTATTGTGGAGATGAGGTATCACCAAGTTGCCCATGTGGGTCTCGAACCCGCGGGCTCAGGCAATCCACTCATCTCAGCCTCCCAAAGTGCGGGATTACAGGCTGAGCCACCGAGCCCGGCTGAGATCTTGCCGAGAACCCTCCACAGCTTCCCAACAGCCTTAAGGGAAGAGTCCAGGCTCTTTCCTGGGGCGTCGGTGGTCCCTCCTGAGCTGGCTCGTTCCCAGCCTCATCCTTCCACCTTCCTGTGCGTTTAGGGAAACCTGCTGCTGTTCTCGGCGATGACCTACAGCTTCCTCTGGGGCTGTCGTCCCACCTCCCACAGCTTCCCCATTCTGCCTGGTGAAGTGCACTCAGCTAGGATGATGCCCTGCGGGTGAGCTGCCCTGCTTCCTCTGGGCCAGTGTGCCCTACGTACATCTGGAGACAGCATTAGTACACAATGCTGTGTCCAATGCTCCATTCACTTGTCTGTCTATTCATGGGACTTCAAGTTACTTACTCCATAATTTATTATTTTTTAATTTTTATTTTGAGTCAGAGTCTCACTCTGTTGCCCGGGTTGGAGTGCAGTGGCATGCTCTCACGGCCATCGCAGCCTCAACCTGCTGGGCTCAGGGGATCCTTCTGTCTCAGCCTTCCAAGTAGCTGGAACCACAGGTGTGTGCCACCATGCCCGGCTAATTTTCTGATTTACTGTAGAGATGAAGTCTCATCAACTTGCCCAGGCTGGTTTCAAACACCTGGACTCAAGCAATCCTCTTGCCTCTGCCTCCAAAAGTGCTGGGATTACTAGCGTGAGCCACTGTGATTGGCTGCCTTTTTTTTTTTTTAATTGTTTCATTTAGTTTGTTTCTCTATTACCTTTATTCAGCTAGGTTTGACTGAATGTTTGATGGTAGCTAGTAGGATATTCACTGAAAATTACTCAAGACCTAAGAGTTAGGTTTTCTCACCCAGTGACTGTATTCCTCTGGTCAATACGAAAATCCAGAGTTGGGCTCCTGGGGTTTTGTATACATAGCAACGTTCCTGACAGCTTCCACATATAAAATACCCATTCCATGACCCATCAGTAACCTCATCCTTCATAGAAGGCATCATTCCTCACTGACATCTGTAAACACTCCCATCAGCTAAGCACAAACTACTGGCTCAAAGGAAATCCTCTAGATGCAATAAACCGTGAATAAAGCTCATTTTTTTTTTTTTTTTTGAGTTGGAGTCTCACTCTGTCGCCCAGACTGGAGTGCAGTGGCCGCTCCCGGTCACCGCAGCCTCGCCTGCTGGGCTCTGGCGATCCTTCCACCTCAGCCTTCCAAGTAGCCAGAATTACTGGCATGCGCTACCACGCCCGGCTGATTTTTTGATTTATTGTAGAGATGAGGTCTCGCTGCCCAGGCAGGTCTCGAACCCGCAGGCTCAGGCAATCCACTCACCTCAGCCTCCCAAAGGTGCGGGATTACAGGCTGAGTCACTGAGCCCAGCTCAAAGCTCATTTTTTACTGCAGATTAGAATAGGTGCTAGGTCTATCTTGATAAGAAAGATCTTGTTCTTTGTAAATAAATGTGACAAAAGACACATTAAACTGGGGTTCCTAAGCTTGGCTGGCCATAAGACTCACCTGGTCAGCTTTATTTTATTTATTTTTTTGAGTCAGAGTCTCACTCCATCACCCAGGTTGGAGTGCAGAGTGGCACGCTCATGGCCACCGCAGCCTCTACCTGCTGGGCTCAGGAGATCCTTCCGCCTCAGCCTTCCAAGTAGCTGGAACCACAGGCACGTGCCACCATGCCTGGCTATTTTTAATTTTGATTTATTGTAGAGATAAGGTCTTGCCATGTTGCCCAGGCTGGTCTCGCATCCATAGACTCAAGCAATCCTCTCACCTTGACCTCCCAAAGTGCTGGGGTTATAGGCGTGAGTCACTGCCAGGCCTGGTCACCTGTAAAATGTAGACGCCTAGTCCTCCAGGCCTGGAGAGGGATTCTATGAGGCCTGAATAGATTATGAGGTCATTCCAATGATTAGTCAGCCTTAGGAGTACGTTACTCGCTGGGGCAAGTATTTTGAGTTACTGATTTGAAATCGTTGTGTTGGGTCTATATATACTAACCATATTTTCACTGGTTATCTTTGCAACGACCAAATTAGATTCAACAAGCATTTATTGGGCATCTATATAAACCCAGCATATTGCTTAGTAGAGGCTACAGAGAAAAACACAGCTGTTCCCTCCTAGGACTACCTGTTAGAGAGGGCATACACAGATCTGTACGACCAAGAGGGTTAAGTGGAACAGTGATGGACTGAACCCATGACCTTGATTTTAACAACTAAAGATAACAATTGTTTTTTCTTTTTTTTTTTTTGAGTTGGAGTCTCACTCTGTCGCCCGGATTGGAGTGCAGTGGCACACTCCCGGCCACCGCAGCCTCGACCTGCTGGGCTCTGGCGATCCTTCCGCCTCAGCCTTCCAAGTAGCTGGAACTACAGGCACGCGCTACCACGCCCAGCTAATTTTTTCATTTATTGTAGAGATGAGGTCTCACCAAGTTGCCCAGGTGGGTCTCGAACCAGCAGGCTCAGGCAATCCACTCACCTCAGCCTCCCAAAGTGCTGGGATTACAGGCTGAGC